GATTAGTTTGGTACGGATACTATTTCTCTTTTGCTTTGTATCTTTCTTCTGGATTTCATGTTGTTCCTATTTTTCCTATTATTTCTGTGGTGTTACTGATTTTGTCTCCTTTTGTCTTTTTGTCCTCTTGAGCCGAGGGTCTTTTGGAAACAGCCTCTCTATTCCTTCGGGGTAGGGGTAAGGTCTGCGTACACACTACCCTCCCCAGACCCCCACTAGTGGGATTTCACTGGGTCGTTGTTATTGTAATTATTGGTTGGTTAATTGCATGAAGTAATTTCAGCTTCGTGAAATTAGGAAGTTTCCTACTTATAAGAGTTCCTAGTCATAATGATGAAATCGTTGAGGATTCTCAACACAAAATTCTTATTGATTCTTCTGACTTTCAACAAACTCATTAAAAAATTTATTCAATAATTTTTAGCAATTCTCTCCACTTTCAACATGCCGCTTCAAACTTGAGGTAGTAAAACAAATTAAGTTCGCAAATCAAAACTGGAAAGTCAAGTTGAGTATGTCTGAAAAAGTTGTTGAAGAAGCATTCATCGGAATAATTTCGTTACAAATACTATTTCCTGAAATAAATTGACTTGATGCTTCCATGAGAGAAAATTGACTTGATGTTTGCTGTGAAAATGATTTGCTGGTGCCACTAGTGTGAATCCATGAGACGTGATGAAACTTGAGGACTGCATGCTTCTAGTTTGATTGGAAGACAGATAAGAAGGCTACCAACTTGGCCAAATACTGAGAAACTATGCTACTGATTTGCCACAGTGAGAATGCACGAGAAAAAAATCTTATTGTTAATCAAAATTGTTGTACAACCCTATTTATATACAGTGATTACATAATAATAGGTATCTACTTCCCGATATGGGACACTATACATGACTAACTACTTAACACTCCCCCTCAAGCCGGTGCATATAAATCATATGTACCGAGCTTGTTACAGATGTACCTAATACGAGAACCAATAAGAGACTTAGTGAAAATATCTGTTAGCTGATCATTCGATTTTACAAACTTTGTAACAATATCTCCTGAGAGTATTTTTTCTCTGACAAAGTGACAGTCGATTTCAATGTGTTTAGTCCTCTCATGGAACACCGGATTTGACGTAATATGAAGAGCATCTTGATTATCACACACCGGTTCCATCTTGTTGATTTCTCCGAACTTCAACTCCTTGAGCAACTGCTTGACCCAAACTAGCTCACACGTTGCCATAGCCATAGCCCGATATTCGGCTTTGGCGCTAGATCGAGCAACTACATTCTGTTTCTTGCTCTTCCAAGAGACCAAATTACCTCTTACTACAACACAATATCCAGACGTAGAACGTCTATCAGAAGGTGAACCTGCCGAATCAGCATCTGTGTACCCAACAATCTGCTCGTGGCCTCGATCCTCCAATAGTAACCTTTTGCCTGGAGCTGACTTTATATACCAAAGAATGCGAACAACTGCATCACAATAACTATCACAGGGAGAATCCATAAACTGACTTACAACACTCACGGAAAAGAAATGTTTGGTCTAGTCACTGTGAGGTAATTCAATTTGCCGATCAACCTCCTATATTTCGTAGGATCTCTAAGAGGCTCCCCTTGTCCTGCAGAAGCTTAGCATTCGGATCCATAGGAGTGTCAACAGGTCTGCAGCCCATCATTCCAGTCTCCTCAAGAATGTCTAAGGCATGCTTCCCCTATGAAATAACAATACCTGAGCTAAACCGAGCGACCTCAATACCTAGAAAATACTTCAATCTGCCCAGATCCTTAGTCTGGAAGTGCTGAAATAGATGTTGCTTCAGATTAGTAATACCATCTTGATCATTGCCAGTAATAACGATATCATCAACATAAAGCACCAGATAAATACACAGATTAGGAGCAGAATGCCGATAAAATACAGATTGATCAGCTTCACTACGAGTCATGCCGAACTCCTGAATAACTGTGCTAAACTTACCAAACCAAGCTCGAGAAGACTGATTCAAACCATATAATGACCTGCGCAATCGGCATACAAGACCAATAGACTCCCTCTGATCAACAAAACCAGGTGGTTGCTATATATAAACTTCTTCCTCAAGATCACGGTGGAGAAAAGAATTCTTAATGTCTAACTGATAAAGAGGCCAATGACGTACAACAACCATGGACAAAAAGAGACGAACATATGCTACTTTAGCCACAGGAGAGAAAGTGTCACTATAGTCAAGCCCAAAAATCTGAGTGTATCCTTTTGCAACAAGACGAGTCTTAAGCCGATCAACCTGGCCATCTGGGCCTACTTTAACCGCATATACCCAACGACAACCAACAGTAGACTTACCTGAAGAAAGAGGAACAAGCTCCCAAGTGCCACTCGCATGTAAAGCAGACATGTCATCAATCATATCATGTCGCCATCATGAATGATATAGTGCCTCAACTGTAGACTTAGGGATATAAACAGTGGACAAAGATGATATAAAAGCATAATGAGGTGATGACACACGATGATAACTTAAACCGACATAATGGGGATTAGGATTAAGTGTGGATCGTACACCTTTGTGGAGTGCAATTGGTTGACTAAGAGGAGACAAGTCCACAGTAGGTGCAGAATCTGATGCAGGATGTGAATCACCTGGGCCTCATGCTGGACGTGGACGACGATGATAAGTCAAGAGTGGTGGAGCTGCAGAAGGTTGAACTGGACTAGGTGGTGGAACTGGAGCTATAGGTGGTGGAACTGGAGTTATAGGTAGTGGAGCTGCAATTGAAGCTGTAGGTTGTGGAGCTGCAACTGGAGCTGTAGGTGGTGAAGCTGGAGTTGTAGAGGAAGATGAATGGGAGATAGTGACTGAATCTCCAAAATATGAAACTGGTAGCACCTCATCAATATCTAAGTGACTACCTGGACCTGTGAAGTATGATTGGGTTTCAAAGAAGGTAACATCAGCGGACATAAGGTACCGCTGGAGGTCAGGAGAATAGCATCGATACCCCTTTTGCGTTCTCGAGTACCCCAGAAATACACACTTAAGAGCACGAGGAGCTAACTTATCTTTTCCTGGAGTAAGGTTATGAACAAAACACGTGCTTCCAAAGGCACAGGGTGGCCGGAGGATTCTTAACCTTGTGGTGGTGTTGGTTTTTGCACAACACCAACAGAAAAAGGACTGACGCCGGACGGCCACCGGAATTAGCACAGTGACTTTTTTTTTCTTCTTTCCCGGAGTCGCTGGTATTTTTGCACAGTGATGAATCTCTCACACTAGCTCTAATACCATGTGAGAATGCACGGGAAAAAAATCTTATTATTAATTAAAGTGTTGTACAACCCTATTTATATACAGTGATTACATAATAATAGGTATCTACTTCCCATTGTGGGACACTATACATGACTAACTACTTAACAACCACTAAGTAGGTGATGAATTGATGACAATATGCCGTGGATGATGGCATATTTTTGATTGTGCAACATGTCACTGACTGGACAAAGGTGGATTGATGTCTTGACAGAGTAAGACCCATAAAAAAAACAGACATAAAAAAGGGATGTGCTTCTGGAGTGGTAATAATTAAAATACACCAGAATACTCAAACACGAATGGGAAAAAATAGTTTGGTCTGGTGGGCAGTGTAAGGCCACCCCCTGATACTCATAATCTATTCAGATCTCTACCAAAATTGCAGAGGTCTTGATACCATGTGAGAAGGGAAGATAGAAAGTTTCTTATGAATTGTTTCGTGTGTTCTCCTTTATGTCCATCAAATTTTTAATCTTGTTATCTTTCTTTAAATTCCTTATTCTTCTCTTTCCTGTGTGATTATCCACACTGAGTCATAACTACCAAATATTTGTGTGGCAACTGGTTTGATACGCTTATCATTTTTAGATGAGGTTATTATCTAGAACACAGCTTGGAAGCCTCAAGTTCTATTACATATTTCAGGTGTATAAAGACAGGAATGTTGTTCGGCAGCTAGTGAAAAGAGCGGAAAGGGCTGGTTTTAAGGCAATTGCCCTTACAGTTGATACCCCAAGACTTGGTCGAAGGGAAGCTGATATCAAGAATAGGTATTAGGCACCATTTTTATTATGTCAGTTCGTTGTCCTAAGGTTTTGATTGTTTGATTTGGTTGTCAGCTAGTTTCGCGCATAAGTATAGTTGATTGATATGGTGCTTTTCATTTGGCTTCTGACAGGTTTGTTTTGCCACCTCACCTGACATTGAAGAATTTTGAAGGACTGGAGCTTGGAAAGATGGACAAGGTAAATGATATTAAAATCTGACGTACATGAGACTAAAGTTTTAAATTGTGCAATTTTTACCGACTGGCACTTTGTTTGATGATCCTGCAGACGGATGACTCGGGACTGGCTTCTTATGTTGCCGGCCAAGTTGATCGGTCTCTTAGCTGGAAGGTTTGCTGCTTGACTTCATCCTTGCAGGAAGAATTTTGTACGTTTATTATCATATAAAAACTCTTGTGAAATTTGGACAGGATGTGAAGTGGCTTCAGACAATGACACACTTGCCAATCCTACTGAAGGGTGTATTAACTGCGGAAGATGGTATGCCAGAATATTAGATGTCAATTGCTTTGGTTTTCTTTTTCTTCTTTCTCTACCTCTTTCTTTGTATCTCTATCTTATTTTTATCAATCACATTTACTGTTTTTTCTTCTTTGACAAGTTTAGCAAGGCTAGCTGTAGAATCCGGAGCAGCTGGAATTATTGTGTCTAATCATGGGGCTCGACAACTTGACTATTCTCCCGCAACAGTTATGGCCTTGGAAGAGGTTAGCTTCTAGTTATTAAAACTATGATACCTCAACTGCTATAACAGAACTTTCATATATCTTTTCTCCTTTATTCTTTCCCCTTCATCTATATAAGCATCATAGCGAGGAAAAGTGACAAGCCCTGTTTTTCTTATAGTGGGAAGCGAGAAGCGAAGCTCTCGCTTTTTTGAAGTGAAACGGATTTTTAAAAAAAATTAAAATAAATACTGCATAGACAACACCTGTAACTGTAAGCAAATGTTCAATACTTCAATGTAAAAACTAAAGATTAGCATCAATTAAAGCACAAAATGAGCATCCTATTCTTTTACAAGATTGTCAAATTCTTGTATTCCACTATCATTATTATATTGCTCGTCATCTTCTTCAACTTCTTCTTCTTCATCAACTAGTGACAAAGTATAACCGAAACTAAAAAATGGGCAGCATTTCAATCTTTTTATCACTGAAACAGATCAAGAAAATGAAGAAGAAGAGGAAAAGAATGAGAAAGAAGAACTGAAGGGAAAAAAAAATTAGCCAGCATTTCGTTGCTATTTGGACGCTGAAACAGTGAAAGAAAAAGAAAAAGAAAAAGAAAAAGAAAAAGAAGAAGAAGAAGAAGAAGGATGAGGAGGAGGAAGAAGAAATCACATACCTGGGACCAAACTTGATGATCTTGCAGTTGAGAAGTGTAGAAAACTTGAACCCTAGGTCGCCTATTTCTTTCTCTGTTGCTGCTGGTCGATGATGTTTTAAAAAAAGAACAACCTTTTTAATTAAATAGGTTGGCAGCCCTGTTATAAAGAGAAGCGAGCGCTTCTTACGCTTCATCGCTTCTCGCTTTTTTAATGGGAAGCAAGCGCTTTTGTAAACCTGTTACGCTTCAGCTAACAGAAGCGTTCGATGGCTCGCCTCGCTTCTCGCTTCTCGCTTTAAGCGAGGAAGCGCTCGCTTTTCACAACACTTGGGAGGTTTGAGTGGGGGATAAAGGGAGGAGATTATAAATTGTGTGCTAGGTGTGTGATTTTCTTTTTCGCTGCTTGATATTTTGCAGTGTTTTAAAGATATTTTTTAAGTATTATTTCTATTCAACTTGTTGAACCTTTAGTGGGTCTAAGCTCATAATCTTGATAGGAGTTTTACATGTTAAAATTTTGGCTTCATCTTAAAAACTTGCAGGTTGTCAAAGCAGTGCAAGGAAGAATTCCTGTTTTCCTTGATGGTGGAATTCGCCGAGGGACAGATGTCTTTAAAGCACTGGCTCTTGGAGCATCTGGTGTATTTGTAAGTAGAAGTATCACATAATTTGGCAGCTTTTGCAAGTACCTACTTTAAGAATGGAACTTATTTACTCAGTTACAATTTCATTCACATAATCAAATATTCCTCTTCTTCTTTCCCTGCCTCGAACTACCAAATTTAACAAAATCATTAGGAACTTAGCAACAAATGAGATTATTTGTTGTGGTGGTGCTCACACTCAGGGGCGGATTTAAGGGGCGGAAGGGTGTTCACCCGAACCCCCTTCGCCGAAATGTTACACTATATATGTAACAAAAAATCTGTTTTTTACCTCTATATTTTTACGTTTTGAATCCCCTTGACAAGGGGTTGAAAACCTTTGTAAGGTCAATGGTTCTATTCCCACTAGCTACAATCTTTTTAACTTTTTCATTTTTCTGAACCCCCTTGGCAGTAATCCTGCATCTGCCCGCCACTGCTCACACTGACCATTTTGCGTGATACATTTGCAGATTGGAAGACCAGTTGTGTTTTCACTGGCTGTTGATGGAGAGGCTGGCGTTAGAAAAGTACTTCAGATGCTTCAAGATGAATTTGAACTGACAATGGCGTTAAGTGGTTGTCGCTCAATCAAGGAAATCACTCGTAGTCATATCACGACTCCTTGGGATCCCCCTAGTATCACACCCCGGTTATAAGCTGAAATCTCAACTTCATGTGCGCAACTCCACACTTAGTTCAAAAATATTGTTGCCTCCTATGAGAAAAACCACAATCAGTTCATCTACTATCACAATGGGAAGAAAAAGATACATCAAACTAAAGACTGCATATGAATATATTGCATTTTTGCAACTTGGAATTGCATTAGAAACAGATATTTGGTTCTGACTATACCAGCAGGAGAAGTTATTAGGCAGTTCTTTGAATCTTGAAATGCAGTCAAACAGGTGTAAGTGCATGTGATGACCCAAAAGGTCATCACTTGATTTAAGAGTAAATTCTGTGTTCCGAGGCCTTAGAAGCCTCCCTTTTCCTCACCTCGATTTGCGTGCATGGTCCGGGCGCATATCCGGAACGCTTTTATGGGGAAATGTGATGAAAATGTTCATTTGGCCTTTAAAATTGAATTTAAGTTGACTTCGGTCAACATTTTGGGTAAATGGATCCCGACCTATGATTTGACGGTCCCGGAGGGTCCGTAGGAAAATATAGGACTTGGCGTATGCCCGGAATCGAATTCCAAGGTCCCAAGCTCGAGAAATGAATTGTTGAAAGAAATTGTTTTACTGAAAATATAAGAGTTTTTGGAAATTTGATTATATTTGAAATTTATGGTATCGGGCCCGTATTTTGGTTCCGGAGCCCGGTACAGTTCAATATGACATTTAAGATGCGTATGTGAAATTTGGTAAGAAACGGGAGTCGTTTGATGTGATTCGGACCCGTAGTTGTGAAATTTGATACTTTGAAAGTTTTGAGATTTTTCTTAGATTTCTATGCTAAATTCGTTGTTCAAGATGTTATTTTGGGGATTTGATCGCACGAGCAAGTCTGTATGATGTTTTTAGACTTGTGTGCATGTTTGGTTTAGAGCCCCGAGGGCTCGGGTGAGCTTCAGATAGGCGTCGGGCTGATTCGAACTTAGAAAATCTGGTGTTTTTGCTGTTTGCTGGTGTCCAGGTTTTTGTTCTATGCGATTGTATAGGTAGGCACGCGATAGCATAGAGTTAATTCTGGGGGTCATCATTTGTTCTATGCGATTGCATAGGTAGGTCCGCGATAGCATAGAGTTAATTTTGGAGGTCATCATTTGCTCTATGCGATTGCATAGGCAGGTCCGCGATAGCATAGAGTTAATTCTGGGGGTCACCATTTTTCCTCTATGCGAACGCATACCTTGTCCTGCGATCGCAGTGCCCAGTTTCCCTTACATTATGCGAACGCATGCTTTTGAGTGCGAACGCATAGGTCTGTTGCCCAGCTAATATAAATACTCTTTCAAAAACGGGCAGACCTTCTTCTTCACCATATTTTCGAGGTTTACATCCCTAAGAACGATTTTCTTCAACAATTATCATCCCCAAGTCATAGGTAATCAATTCTAAACTTTGCTCTTCCAATTCCTTACTGTTTTTCATCACTTTTAAATAAAAATCAAGGGTTTTCATGGTAAAAAATGGGGATTTGGGTAGAGTTAGGGCTTTTTGAATAATTGGAATTTAGACCTCATTTTGGGGTCGGATTTCGAAACTAATTGCATATTTGGGCTCGTGGGTGAATGGGTACTCGGGTGTTGGTCCGAACCTCGAGTTTTGACCAAGCGGGCCCGGGGTCGATTTTTGAATTTTTGGGAAAAATGATACAAAACCTATAATTTAGCACTGGGATTGAATTATTTAGCATTTGATGTTGTTAAATTAATTTGGGCTAGATACAAGTAATTTGGAGGCGAATTCTAAAGGAAAAGCGGTGTTTGAGGCTTGAGTTGGCCGTGGAAGTTTGAGGTAAGTGTTTGGTCTAACCTTTGCTTGAGGGATTAGGAGTTGTGTCTTATTTGCTATGTGTTAACTGTGGAGTACGACGTATAGGCATGGTGACGAGAATCTATACGTCGGTGTCAAGCATGCCCGTAAGTCTTGTATTGTAATTGTTATGACTCCGTTGTGGTTTATTCGTGCTTCATATGAGGATTATATTATTGTTCCCTTGCCGGGATGTTGTTGTTATATTGTTCCCTTGCCGGGATGTTATTGTTATATTATTGTTCCCTTGCTGGAATATTGTTGTTATATTATTGTTCCCTTGCTGGGATTCTTGTATGAAGGCGTTGATAAATGAAATGGGAGCGGGTTGCACGCCTGCAACGGTAATATATGAAATGGGAGCGGGTTGCACACCTATAACGGCAATATATGAAATGGGAGCGGGTTGCACGCCTCCAACGGTAATATATGAAACGAGAGCGGGTTGCACGCCTGCAACTGTACTATATAAAATGGGAGCGGGTTGCACTCCTGCAACGGTACTATATAAAATGGGAGCGGGTTGCACGCCTGCAACGGTATTATATGAAATGGGATCGGGATGCACACCTGCAACGGTATTACATGTGTACTTGTTTCTTATTTCCTTATCTTTTGCTAGTAATTGATTTATGGCGTTTCTTACATTTCTCTATTGATTTCTGTTATTACCTGAAATACCCCACAACATGTTTCCCCCTTCTACCTTTAACTGTGAATATCTGTTTTTATTTTTCGTTGTATATGATTTAACTGCACAGGTTTATTTGGTAGTCTGCTCCTAGCCTCGTCACTACTTCGCCGAGATTAGGCTAGGCACTTACCAGCACATGGGGTCGGTTGTGCTGATACTACACTCTGCACTGTGTGCACATACTGATACCGGAGCGTTTGGACCGCAGTGAGGGTGCTGTCCTTAGTCCATTCAGGCGACCCAAGGTTGTCCTGCAGACGTCCGCGGGCCTTGGCGTCTCCTCCTCTCATTTCTCTATCTGTTTCTACTTATTCAGAGACATATCTATGTATTTCCATTCAGGCCTTATTTGTAGCATTCTTAGATAGTCCGTGACTTGTGACACCAAATTTTGGGTAGTATTGTACTTCAGATTATGTAGCAGTGTTTGGTTGAATTATTAAGCTTTTTCGTCTTCCACATTTCTGGTTATTTAATTTATTTCGCTATTTAATCACTTATTATTTTAAATTGTTGAACATATTTAATAAAAGGAAGGTAATGATTTTATAATATTTGGCTTGCCTAGCTTCCACGAGTAGGCGTTATCACGACTCCCGAATGTGAAAAATCCGGGTCGTACCAGTGCAGTTCTTGGGAAAGATGTATCCGGCAAAATGTAGCCTTTGAACTCTTATTGCTGTTACATTGATGCTTTGTTTTAATGTTTGGCAACACCGTCATCTTTATTATATTGAATTGCAACCATTGATGTTGTAAATTGTAATGGTTTTTTTTTCTTTTTTTTTTTAGGGGGGGGGGGGGGGTTGAGGGGAGGGGGGAAGGAAGAGATGCTGCAAATGCGTTCTCTCTCGCCATGATACTGGGGTACAATTGTCAAGGCATGTAGTACAATATTTCTGTAAGAGTAGGTTTGATATGAATAGGAAAATATCAGTAGTTATGGGTATTTTGTTATGACTGACATTTAAAAAAAAAAGTAGAATGTTAGGGTGTTTTTTCATTTGCAGTGAGAGAGCTGGATTAGTAGTGACTCCGAACAAGATCTTTTGGGGTATGATCACCGAATTGGTCAAAGCTTTGACTTAATTGTACATGCATTAGTCTAATATAAAGCTAAACTTTGAACCTTGGCTTTATTATGACAAACTCTCAGTTTCAACGTACTAGATATTTTAATGAGCAGAATGCAACATATGGTGCCTAACATTTTAAACATGGAATGATTGAGTGATGGAACTTGTGACTTGTGAGTGGGTAAACACATATTAATATATTATGTACGTAATAGAAACCTGAAGTGACAAAACTTCAAACAACAACTCAACTTTATAATTGAAATGAGAAAAAAGAAAGGTACTCTTTTGTTGTTCGGTTGTAGAAATACACAAAGTCCGAAAATTTTTATTTTGTGACTCACACAACTGACGTGAGTTGTGTGAGGCGTCCTTTTTAATTTATCTCACAACTTTGTGGACCCAAAATTTTGTGGACTCAAATGTGTAAAATATTGGTCCACAAATGTGTGAGATAAAAAGATATCTCACACAACTAATGTCAGTTGTGTGAGGCACACCATAAAATCACTCCTATTTGAAAGAACTTTTAACATGGAATGGAGACTTCACATCGTACACAAAAAGTAAACAATCTATAAATATCATCCCAATTCGTATTACGCGAACACACAAATATCATGAC